TTGTAGCGTACAAAATGGTTGGCAGGAAGTGGGGGACGCTTAACGGGAAACGGCGTCGGCTCTTCTGAAACGTAAGAAGCATTCGAGAAAGAAAGAGCGGAACGTTGCCAATTGGGCCGGGACCTGCATTAGCGGGACCAAATATCGACGGGGAAGTCAGGATGGGATTATTTGAACCTAGTGTCAAAAGTTGGAGCTTTTTCGAGGGGACCGCTGCCTTGCGTTCTAACCTTGCCTTCTAACTAGGTACATGTAGGTAGGTTAGTACCTAACACCTACTATGCGCATTGCCCACGTGTTGTATCTACCGCTATTAGTGGTACTCACCTTAGATATGGCTGGTACACGTATTTCCATGGGAACCCGCCCAGCGTTGGCTCTTTGGCTGTCGTACACTAATAATACTAGTACAATACCTTTTCCTACTGGTCTCTGCGGAGTACATGACCCTAAATATTAAACTATCTCGCTGTACAATATCCATACAATATCCACTACGTGCTAGTATGTACATCAGTTTCAATGGATCATGTTCCGCGGCGGACAGTTTGTTATTGAGGGGCTTCCAACGGTCGCCCTTCGAGGGCCCTCGGGCCTCAAGGGTCCTCAGATCTATGTTGGTACCGGTATCTGTGTTGGTAAAGCTGGTTTGATTCTCTTTTGACCGTAAACTATCATCTTGGCAAATATTACCTATTATTGGTAGATTTGAGGCTCGTTTATGATTGCTTCGTATATTAGCTGTTTTATTATTATTATTTGTATTAATTATTTGTACGCTATGGTCACTATGCTGTAATGCGGTGACGCTGTGGTCAATAGGTAGCTCGCTACCAAGTATGTACATATTAATCGCCGTTGACGCACGGAGTTTCCATGTGTCAGATAATGTATGTATGTAGTTTGACATCTCGCATCAAGATCACGGCTAAGTATTGCGAAACCGCATGTCAGACGCTTATTTCAAGGGTCCTCGGTTTATCAGAAACTTGTCGAAGCGTGATGATCAAATGTTTGGAGACTCACTTCTTTAATGCAAATACTCTTTTGCTACCACTTTTCCCTTGTAAATGATACGTCGAAGGCCCGATTGAGAAACAACTTTCATCTAGGGGGCCTGGCACGTTGCCAGGTATGAGAACGTATGCCCGCCTTCCTGCCACGCAGGTATTCGAGTCGGTATCGAAGCTCATTGGCCCAAAATATGCCGGTGAAGAAGCCAAGAACATGAGAGAAACCGTCAAGATCTTCCAGAATCACAACCTGCTACAGCATGTTGCAAGGCTCCCTGCTCGAGGCTAAACTAAATGGGTGCCTTATTTCAAGTTGGCATATGAGTGGGTGGAATCAAGGGATACCTGGATACCTGGTCTTCATAATCCGTACTATCTCGCGAATCTGGGGGAAGTGGTTTGGATGGACCGGCACTGTTCCGTTTTTGGTCCATGTCGCCGCCTAAAAATCGCCAATTCCGCCAACCGGTGCAGGAAGCGGCTCCTTGTCCAAACGGCCCGTGGTCCATCTACGGTTCATCTATGGGTTCTTGACAAGGAGTTTAGAACCATGAAAAATTCGGTAATCTTATAGATGAACACGTGAAATCCGCGTGTATTAGCAAGTCGCTAGGTTGACTGAAGGGAGGACTATGTATAAGTGAAAAAAGCAATTAGATGCTTCGCTTTACTATATCCGGTTGATGAAAGAGTAGGCTTGCTAGCACGGGTGACAACTGACGATAGCTTCCAGGGCTTGAGACCTCGCATGATTGCCTGTCATATTGGTGTTTTGGCGTCGTATGTTCCCAGGGCCTTGGGTCCGGTATGAGCGAAATGTTACCACTGAGAATGGATCAAAATGGATCAGCCCATATTGATGGGACGCATCGTCCCAAAACGCCCTCGGACAAACTCTTCGCATTGTAGTTTGTATGTAATATGTAATATGTTAGGTAGTCTATGTATGTGGTGGTTAAGCTAGGGAAGATATTCCTATTTTGAGCGGATATGCTGAATGCAGACTGTGCTGAATGAAGATTGCCACTCTCGTTCTCCAAATATTCCCTCATTACGGATTTCCTACCTGGTTAAGAATATTGGGATAGCACGGGCCTCTATATACTACTGTCATTTATCAAGTACCACAAGAAGCTCTAAGCTTTTTTTGATGGCGAATTGATGTTCTGGACCGGTTCCGCGATATGGTTCTCGTCGCTGACACTGGGTAACACGAAGTACGCGAACTGTTTAGTGTATGCACAATAGGTCGGCCTTTCGGGGGTTTGATATGTGGAAGAACTCAGAGAACTGCTTGGAGGATTATGTACGGCAGACTGAGGGTTGTGTACCTAACGCATGTAAAGTCTGATTGTCTGCGGACCTAGACTGTGTATGTACGAAGTATGACCTAAACTATGGTGATCGATCCTCCATCTTTATCTAGGTAGGTAGCTAATAAGTTGTGATGCAGATAGTCTATGTTATGTAGTAGTGTATGTAGTTGAGATCACATTTGGGGTCGTTTCTTTTTTTCCGGTAACCTTTCATCTCCAACTGTCAGATTATCTTAAAGCTCCGGATCAATTACCTGCTTGCATACCGACTTGCCATGCTTTGCTCAGTAAAGTAATAATATGCCGCCGCTGCATCGTTCCTGCAGGACGAATCTGCAGGCACAAATTTGGCATGCAAGGTACTGGTCGATGAATAGGCCGAGAGAAATGCGATTGGTGTGGAAATGTTGTAGGTAGTAAAGTATAGATAAAGTATAGATGTATCTCACAACATCCAGTACTTCCATCCGTTTTCTATCATCTATCAACGGACCGGGACAAGCTATTCTGACTATCCTGACCATCCTGACTATCCTGACGTATTCTAGTTTCCAGCACTGTGGGAGCCGGGTAACAGGCCGCATAATGGGAGGCAAATTAACTATGAGGGCTCTTGCCTGGGGTCCTGTCGAGCCGGAAGGCTTCCACGGAACTGTTATGGATACCTTGTAAAGTCGGAAGTCCCAGCGAGGTGTCTAGGTAGTCGTCTAGGCGTTCTGGCGGTGGAATGATTGTCTGGACCCTGATAAAGCTTCCTGATTTGGGACTCTAGTCCGATAAAACACCGCTCCACCGCTATGTTAGTACGACGTAGCATAGAATAACAGCACTGACGATACACTATGGGCCATAGTAATGCATACCTGTAATACCTGTACAGTACAATACATAACCCATGTACAATACTAGGTTTGTTCAGGGACGTAATCTCTAATGCAATGCTAGTGCTAATGCATTGGCGAATGCATTAATATGCTCGGCAAAATAATGAAACGAGCGATGGATGACTGCGATAGCACGTAAGAATATGCGCAGTACTTACCAATGCAGAGTTGTGCTCCTTGACACAGCCCCCCCAGAGCATCGATAATCCTTAACGCCTATGTATGTACTATCTATCAGTTTATGTACAATAACTACGTACACTTCCGTACGCTAGGAACGATAGCAAGGTAATGAGCAAGGTAATGAGCAAGGTAATGAGCAAGGTAATGGTGCAATAGGCGAGCGTATCACCAATATTGCGATGCCATTTCTAAGGTGCGCTTTGATAGAAGCCGCTTTAATGTTCGTTTGAACGGCGACTGCATCATGCGTGACAGCAGTGGGCACGTTGTTTGAAGATCCGAAAAGTTGGTATCAACTATCGTAATATCGACTCACATATGTAAAAGATTACGAATACCTAACGTTCCGATGCAAACTGGTGGAGATGATGTTCATGGACTACACGAGGAGACCACGTTGAGCCGTTGCGCTGCGGACGGGCTAAAAAAGAAAAGTAACTTGATGTTCCTTTTTTTTCGATTTTGATTTTTTCAATTTTCAGCGTTTTTCTGTAATGATTCCGAGGCCGAGCCGTGTGTGGAAGGTGCTGTAAAGAAAACGGCATCGGGATCCAATGACTGCTTTAGAAGATCCCGAAGTACGAAAAAGGCAGGAAGGACTTGCCTTCGGTGGTGATGACGAAGTCTCGTAACGGCCATATTACTACCAACATTTTTCTGCAAGTTGACAAAGTTAAAAAAAGAAAAAAAAAAGTAAGAAAAGAAGCTTATTTCTTTCCCACCTATTCCCGCTTGACGCCTGACAACCTAACGCCCGTTACATACTCCGTTGATTACTAGTAACATTAAGTCACCTTAAGTCACCTCAACTCGTCACGTCTGTCTTTTCGGTTCATCACGATACTGTACTATGGTTTCATCAACATCTCATCTAACATAGGACCCTATAAACTATCGAGTCCAGTCGTGTTGAAACTACATAGAACGCTTCCACTACGCCGGTGTAAAGAACCGACCCATCGGATCCTCGATCACATCGATATGTAGATGTGAAATGTGGGGTGTAATCTCATGTAACAGAATAGAATGTTCGCCGAGTTGACCGTTGACCATTGTGACGAATGTTCTCTCTTAGAATAAGCCTACTGCTGGTATCAGCCAACCTCGTCTTGTGATTCCTGTGATACACCGAAGAAAGGAAGAAAAAAAAAATCTAAACGCGTTCCATAAACAGAAGGCCTCAACGTGATTTGACGGATACCGTATCATCGGCGTCTCTAGCCTCTTCTCTCTGGATGAATAGGTTGCATCTAATAGTGAGTCGATGGATAGTGCTTGCATATCAGGAACGCGCGCGTTTTGGAGGATTTGTCCACTCACACACAAATCACACACAAATATTCGGGGGCTAATCCTATGTTTCCAATTCCAATCGATGCAACCGCTTTTAGCAGATAAATTGTGAAGATTTACTTCCATCACAAGCTAATCTGGGGTCAATCTGCCAATGCGAGCCCAGCTTAGGCAAAACACACATATCATTGGTCTTCATTTACTGGAACTACTTCACACCAAAACATATGGACTGATGGATTGGCATCTAGTGTATATCCAATACGATGCCTGATACTGTTGTATTACGCACCCGATGGCAGGCTGCCTCTTACCGCATGCTTACCACGCTCACCTCACCTAGATGAATTCTTCATTGAGCAGCTCACAGCCTATTAGTGAAGTCCAATCATCGGCGGTTTGCGAATTTTCAATTGCGGAGCGTTTGTTTGGCTGCACCTTGGGTTTCTGCAGAAACCCAGCGTTGTGGTGTCGATGGGAGGTTATCCCGGCCGTCAACGTCATCATCACGAGTTGTGATTGTCTAAGTCTACTACCTACACTGTAGTCTATTTTGCCTTCTCGGGACTGAGAAATACATGGCTTCATAGCCTTTTCATAGCCTTTTAATCGCTACCTATGTATCGGCTATCGTTCCGGGTTCTATGGAGCATCTGATACCAAGCCGTCCGTGATCCAATCGACAAGTCCAAGAGGCTGTCCGAGGCTTAATTATAAGCGCAGTCTTTCTCGTGAAGGCGCCGAATGACGAATGTGATCCATAGCGCGACGCCTGGCCATTCGTACCTGCATTCCATCACGTCCTTCTACTGGATAGGCACCATGGGCTGGCGCAGAGGACTCCGCGTCGCGCGCAGGCTGGACGGCGTTCAGCGACTGGCTGTGCAATGTTGCAGCCGAACACAACCACCACCGACTTAGTGCTTTGGCAAAAAAGGACGAATTATGCAAATTGTGTGGCTCGCTTCCTCCTGTGGTCCAGCGGTCAAACTGACCTATCACAGGTCCCGGTTCGCTATTGTACAATACAATACATACGACGTAGATATGCATGTTCCAACCATCCAAGAAAATCCTGAGAAAAAAACTTGTGCAGAGTACCATTTACGACAATCAATTCCCTAAACAGCTCTAGAAGCAATAGGGAAGGCCGCCGAGATACTACTGTATGGGCATCGTCTCACTTGTCTATTCGTTAGGTGTATTAATTATGCATCATGTAATGCTTTACGTATACTATCTACATATCTACTTATCAACCCTAGGTATAGTTACTTTATGTACAATACATTTATAGATTAACATATATACAAGCCGTTTAAAGATTTATATGTACCTACCTCTTGGCAAATCATATACATAGAGGGCTTTAGATTATGACGAATTATGTACACGAATAACGTCTTACTTAGATAAGGACAAAAGACGCCTAACCCGATACTTCACCGTATATTGGTTATCTTAGAATTTACATAATACTTCAAAAGAAGATACTCCAAAAGAAGAGCCAACAAACCCCATGTTTAGCTGTCGAATGCAGCTCTATGTACTATGTATGCTTGATACCAGGTCGGGTCTGGGAGCCCGTATCGTTCTCTGAACGGTGCTAGGCGATATGCAAGGTGTCGTATGCTTGCGCATGCGTATTGTACAAACCAACGGAGTTTATAAAGGTGTATACACTATGTACACTATGCAATACCAGACAGGTATACGACCAGTCGGACAAGGTTTCTGCTGTCTGTCGATAAAAAGAGAGAAGAGGGCATAGCATGGGAGCATAACATACATAGTAGGATACATAGTGAGATACATGGGACATAACACATAACATAATGTACCCTTCAATACGCGGTACCTCGCCCTCCTCTAGTGTCGTCCAGATTTAGAATCGCTCGGTGGCTGCGCCCACATAGTACCAGTCGAACGTACCCACTCATCTCATGTTTCCGTTTTTGCCCCAGACATGCAGTAGACAAGGTTGGCCAGTGGTAACGACCCAGGCCGACCAGGACCATCTTTAGACCCCCTTGTCAGCTTCCCCAAGTGAGACATACATGGGTGACCTTGAGTTGAGTGGGTTCCCTATGGGTCTTCCATTCCACCCGCAGGCCCTCCAGTGCCTATCGAATGGGCTCTTTTATCTGGTGTAGATGATCTGGGCGGGCTTCGACTATTTTACATTATCCTCTACAAGGTTCGCTTCAACCACGTTCATTACTCTCTTACCTAGTCCGTGATCGACATATCAGTCGACTTAGGTTGTCTTCTATTTCTTCATAACCCTATCGGTTCTCTTGTTTCTTCCGTGACTCGACTTTTTGGAATCGTTCGATCACTCCTCGAACTTCCTGCCCTTCTTTAAGTATACAACAAAGTCATATCCTATCCTCTCCCAAGCCAAGTCTGCTTGACGATAATACCAATACCCGGGAGTTCCAAGTCGAGGACAGGTTCATGTACAGCAACATATACACCGAGTCATAAGCAACTAGATGGTTCTTTGATATACATCAGAGCCGTTCATTCATTCAGACATCCAAGGACCGAAACTACCATCTTTAGGCCAACCGCCCACAAAACGTACCTATTGTACAATATAACTACCAATATACTTAATATATAAAACGAAACGAGACACGGCAATACTCTAGAGAGTTATCAGCAAACGTAGCCAAACTCGATAACAGGTCAGTTCCTTAGAGGATTAAGAAGGTCACCGTCCGCAAAGACTGACAGGAGGTAAATCAGTCACGACAATGGACCCAACCATGATGAGCTCGCAGATGGGACCAACGCCCTTCTTCTACTATACGCCAGACCCCAACCCAGAGAACCGGCATCACGGCCACTTCAGTCAGCAGCCAGGGTTTCAACAGATGCAACAGCAACAGGTATTCCCTATTGTACCTACGTTGCCATCGACACCGATCTACTCGAGGCCGAATTCGTCTTGCTCGCAACAACCTCTATCAGCTAAGGTATTCGGTGCCGTTTCTAGTAATATGACTCCTATGGCATCTCCACAGGCCATACATCGACCAGCTATTATGCTGCAAAACCAACCTATGAAGCTGGCGCTGGAGACTGAGCTTTGCGATCATGACGGCTTCTACTACCCGGCTACACCGCCCCTGTCAACATCAGGTAGCTCAATGGGCAGCCCATGCAACACGAACGACATGCTAGCCACACCGCTAAACCCCATGTTCTCTGGGCTAGACGGACTTGACGGATGCGAGATGGTGAAGCCCGAGGTCGAGACGATGCCAGAGAACTTGGAGAATTTGGATTGGGCCAACTGTGGCTCGCCTCCATTAACACCTGGTAGGTCCTTGTTCTTTTATGGATTTTGGGTTTTGGAGAGATCCTACCTAGTTGCTTGAATTTGACAACCGCATGAGTTGTTAAGAAAGAAAGAAGAAAAAAACCCACCCCGGCTTCTAAAAATGCGAACTGCGAAAGTGTAATTGAGTTTCGGGGCGGATTGGCGGGGCTTGGAATGGAATTCACCGCTTATCTTGCCTATCTTTTTTAAGCCTAAGGGACTTTTGGTTGCTAACTTTATTTTTTCTGCCCTTACAGTTTATCTGCAATCGCAATCCACACAGGCACCTTCAGTCACCTCTAGCTTCTCAAACGATCATCTTTCGCCTACTTCCTGCCCTTCGTTATCGCCGTCTCCGTCACCGTATGCACGATCCGTTGCATCGGAACAAGACGTTGATTTTTGCGACCCTCGGAATCTAACTGTTGGCGGTGTGTCGAACCCCACTCTATCGTCCGAGTTCACAGCCCCTGTCGCTTTAGAAGAATTCAGGGGTGACGTTCTCCAAAAACAATTACTCCCTGACAACTTCACCTTCAACACTGAGCTTCAACACGGACTTCCAACTTTCGAGGATATCTCAGATTTGGAATCCGAGGACGACTTTGTAAACCGCCTAGTTAACATCAGTGAGCAATCTGCTGATTTGAAGAGGCCGCGTTCCGGTACTTGCTCTACTACCCTATCTCTGGGTCACGAGTCCTTTTTCGCGGAGAGTGATTTCGATACCGAAGACACAGCAGCTACTGGTTTTTCTAGTCCTGCTAGCTCTTCGGAGTGTGAATCGCACAAGGACAAGAAGTTAAAGAAGTCGAAGAAGGAATCGCGCAAAGCAGTTCCCGCCATGAACGTCGCTGCTGATTCCAGCTCTGGCCAGGGCGACGAGCAGCAGCAGCAGCAGCAACAACAGCAGTCAGCTCAGAATGATACCACGCAAGCTAGTAGCAATGCAGGATCATCAGCTGGATCAAGCGCACCTACTACTCTTCCGGCCCCGCCAAACCGCCGAGGCCGCAAGCAATCATTAACTGAGGACCCGAGCAAGACTTTTGTTTGCGAGCTATGCAACCGACGCTTCCGCCGACAAGAACATCTGAAGCGCCACTACCGTTCTCTGCACACGCAAGAGAAGCCCTTTGAATGCCATGAGTGCGGCAAGAAGTTCTCCCGAAGCGACAACTTATCTCAGCACGCGCGAACTCACGGTAGCGGCGCTATCGTCATGAATCTCATTGATGGTAGCGAAGAGGGACTCGACTTGATGCCGTCTGGAGAGTCGGACTATTCTAATTACGGCAAGGTGCTTTTCCAAGTCGCGTCCGAGGTTCCCGGTAGCGCTAGCGACTTATCATCAGACGAATCTCCCAGTGAGAGCCAGGGCAAGAAGAAGCGCAAGCGATCTGAGTAAATCATCCAAATTCCTCGGGGAGGATTGAGATCAGCTTTACACGCCTTGAAGATCGATAGGAGATCTCGGCGTACGCCCACTAATGACATAATGACTTTCACACATTCGACCGATTCCCCCGCAGCGCATTCATGGATCTGGTCTCAAGGCCTAGGTAGAGAGGACTACAAAAGTTGCACTTTGATTTTTCAGCATCGACTTGTCTTCTTGTACCATTATTGTGAAAACATTTTTTCTTCCAATCATGACGACTATTTAAAAAAGCTCAAGGGAGCGGCTACGGCAGCCTTCAAGGGATACAAGGGTTTTGGTGATGAGGCGCGAACGGGCGGGCATTTTGACAAAACCATACAGAGGCGGAATTCGCCATGCAAAGCAATGCTATACACTATTTTCGGCGGCTTATAATTCTCTACGCTCGTTGTAATCTCTACAGCGGGGCGGCGCAGAGCAGCCGTCCGGCGCGGTAGGACACGATCAGTGAAGAGGGAGGAGGAACTAGAGGATGATGTTCGAAAAGGGGAGACCCTTCACTGAAATCGCTCTTCGTGTGTCTAATTTCTAGTTATTCAGTTTATTTCCCGATCCCGTTTATTGCGATGGCTTTCGTGGCGGTGCTGGTCACAAGAAGATAGCTTTGAGCAGGAACCTATGTACAGATAGGAAATTAAATCTAGCAATGGATTTTGTCGCCAGTTAATTATTTATTTATCTTGAAATCAATGTGTGTAATGTGTGTGTGTTGGTGATAATTCTAGTTCCTATTGTTTACCCAGTAAAATAAAGCGTACCGGTAAAGTGGTGCCTACCTATCGTACATGAATGTGTTCGTAGATGTATTCAACATTGAAGTTTCCAGGACAAGTTCTTTTGTGTAACGAGTACAAGTCTCTATCTACCTCGATACATACATACAGTACATTCCACATTTCAAGGTTCAATGTTGTCATTTGGTAACTCAAGTCCGACAATTAGCCCGCGAGCGGATACGGTCCGTTTTTTCAAAACCCGAAGTCAACTAAAAAATCAAGATATGAATAACACACACGCGTAATAGAAGGACTTTTGTTAACTACTTCAGGTACTTAACTTAGGTACCTAGATATTATTTAAGATAGCGAGATAGTAAACTCGTATCTTCCCTAATTTACTATTTACTACGGTAAACCGGTTTTAATCGGTTGATTATCTCCAACTAGGTATCTCTCTTCCGCTGTCTGCTGATACCAAATCGGTTCTTAATATTCTAGCTTCTAGACTTTTAACAATCCGAAACCCCGCTAAGCCGACACCGTCTGAGGAAATATCCGCATAGATCAAGCATAGATTCGCTTATTAGCTTATTGGCTTGTTGGCTTTCTAATGCGGATATAGTTATTAGTCTATATATACTGGGTATACTACCCACCAAGCACCTATATTAGACTATGCCTAACGCCATCAAAGCTAGCAATCAAGTCATAGCTCAAAGTCCCAAGCCGCTATCTTAAACATCTTATATGAAGTCATAACACGCCGAGATCAGCAGAGGTATAGCGAGGAAAAGTGAGGCGCAATCGTGCCACACTGATGTCGCAATAGTCGAGGTTTGTTTCCGCTTCGCCTAGCACAGAGAACCCGGTACGGAAAACCTGGTACAGAGAGAAATGACTCCCTGTTAGGCCGGTGGACTATTCGATTTCTTTTCTATTTCTCCGAAATTGATAGCTGTCAGGCCTTTGCAATTACCGAGTACCCATGCCATATCATGGCAGCGGACAGACCCCTACACGTTGTCGCGCTGGTCTCCGGGGGAAAGGATAGCTTCTATTCCATTCTCCACTGCCTGGCGAATGGGCATCGCGTTGTAGCTCTAGCTAACCTCCACCCCCCGCCTAGAATCACCAGTGCTAGTGGTTGTAGCTATAGCAGAGATGCCAATACTTCGGGAAGCACAGGTAGAACTGAAGCTAAAGAGGTGACTGGGGCCAATGCCAGCAGCACTATTACTACTGCTGCCATACGGATCTCTCCCGGCGTGGATCAACCCCCCCAGCATCCTTCATGCTCTACTTCATTCCCGGCACCGGAAATAGACCATGGTGGCGACGAGGAAGAAGGCGAGGCCGACCTGAATAGTTTCATGTACCAGACCGTGGGTCACCAAGTTATCCCATTGTATGCACAGGCCACGGGACTACCTCTATTCCGCCGACCTATCCTGGGAACAGCGGTGGACCATGGCATAAGCTACCAGGACCCAGATGGCCACCGCGAGGACGAAGATGAGACAGAGTCCCTTGTCCCGCTATTGCGTGCTGTTCTCAAGGCCCACCCAGATGTCAACGCTCTGTGTACAGGCGCTATACTATCGACGTACCAGCGAACCCGCGTCGAATCCGTTGCTCTGAGGCTCGGCCTAGTGCCGCTGGCCTATCTGTGGCAGTTCCCTGAGCTTCCATTGTCTTTTGCTGCTACGGATAGTCAAGCTGTAGGTACCGATAAGAGCGATGACGCGCAGCTACTCCGCGATATGGCAGCCGCAGGGCTGGATGCCCGTATTGTGAAGGTGGCTAGCGCTGGCTTGGGAGAAGAGTTCTTGTGGGAAAATGTGGCAAGCGAGTCCGCCGTGTCTCGCATCCGCCGCGCGCTCCGCCGCTTTGGGGGCGACGGGGGACGGGGCGCCGTCTTAGGAGAGGGCGGCGAGTTCGAGACACTTGTCGTAGACGGTCCGTCAGTGCTGTTTAAGGGCCGTATAGTAGTTGATGAGGATGACAAAAGAATCGTGCGTGAGGGCGGCGGAAGCGCCTGGCTAAGCATTCGTAAGGCTAAAGTCGAGATGAAGCCGGATTTGGATGCGTCATCTCAAAAAGATAGTTATGATGTTCGTATCCCAGACTTGCTCGATTCGGAATTCAAGATTGTTCTCGAGTCGCTGCATAACGAGACCAAGCTGGGGTATGATTATAGCGGGTTATCTCAGACATTACTGTCATCTGCATCGAGCCTGTCTCGGTATAAGCACACCGATTCCAGCAGCAATGATTGGCACTTTGTTGGAAATTCGGGGGGCATTGAAGACCAGACAGCTAGGATCGTTGACGAGGTTCGTCGACGGCTAGGCGATTATACCCTACCGTCAACGGCAATTGTCAGTTCTGTCATCGCGTTACGGCGTATGGCAGACTTTCCGACCGTTAACAAGCCGTACGGGGCCCTGTTCCGTGAACCAAACCCGCCTGCTCGGGTAACTATCTCATGCGGGGATTTGATGTTACCTCGAGGCGCCGACATAGCTGTTCTGCTCACCGTTCAGCCTCATTTGAAGCGAAATGAAAGGCGTGGTTTGCACGTCCAGTCGCGGTCGTACTGGGCACCAGCCAACATCGGCCCATACAGCCAGGCGGTCGCGTATCCCCTGCTCAGGAGCGACGAGGGTCAGAATAACGATGCCCAAAACTCAGAATTGCCTCTTGCGGTGTCCATCGCGGGCCAGATACCCTTGGTACCCGCCTCCATGACCCTGCCTCCGATGCGGAAGGATAGTAGCAGTAGCCTCGCATTCCAAATAACCCTAGCGCTGCAGCACCTCTGGCGTGTTGGCGGTGAGATGCAGGTCCAATGGTGGAGCGGCGCCGTGGCATACTTCCCGCGCTCGGCCCTCCGTTCGGAAGCGAGACACAGTGCCCTGCTCGCTTCTGCGGCGTGGAACGCAGCGCACGTGGCATCCTCTAGTCTGTCGACAGACGCGGTAGAGGAGCCGGACCCGTGGGATCGAAAGTACAATCCTGCGTATATGACATACGGTAATAGTAGCGACGATACCGCTTCGAGACCGAGTCTTCCCGATTGGGAGGTCTTGAAGGATTTCGACGCAGATGCAGATGCAGATGCAGATGCAGACGCTGACGACGACGACGAAGATGGGAAGATTCCCCACAGACCACTGCCGTTCGTCTTCTCCGCCGAGGTCGAAGAGTTGCCGCGTTCGGCTAGTGTGGAGTGGCATGCGCATCTGGGATTCGCGAACGTAGGCGCCGGATCTATCCGGTTGTATAACGTTGGCGGTGGAGAGACCCCGGAAGATCCCCTCTTGCACCACGTCGTTGTCGAGTCCCCCTCAGGTGACGTGTTTGCCCAGACAACTACTGTTCACCATGCAATTGAAGGAACTATCTCGGCTTTACCCCTCACTAATGCGGTGGACTTTGAGGACATAGTGGACCATCATGCAGTAGCTGTTAAGAGGTCTTTACTCGAACTACTGGCGGATTCAGAGCCCAATGATTCCGTCGTCGTACTAACACCGAAATTCACCTATGTCGACCCCGAAGCCTTGAAGTTTCCTGGGGATGTGGGAGCTTGGTTAAGCAAGGGCGCGATAATACCTTGTAGGTCCCTATGGGATTCACAAGGTCGTCGCCTGAACATGGTGTCTATATTCGAAACTAGGTGGTCTAAAGTACGTTAGGGACTCTGGATAAAAGTGATATAGAGGCACAGATGAAGAAAAGAGGTTCATGAACTCAATCGTAAAGGAAATAGCCTGTCTGCATGTGTTATAGATAACGGATGGGTATTTCCTATAGTAAATCTACACGATGAGCATATCTTTATTGGTATAGTTATACTAGAATATCGTCTATAATACCATCCAACTACCCGTACTAGAATCATCGACCGAGTAAATCGTTATCATATCAAAGGCGTAGATACTCTAAAAGAGTCAATACCCAAAACTTCATCGAACTCCCCTTCTCTGCTGCAGCGCAGGCGCAAGCCCTTCCCAAAAAGCACATCTTTCCCGCTGATCCTCCGGCACCGTTTCCATCGAGAAATTACCCACTTGCATGAGCAATCTCTTACCACCACCACCACCACCACCCGCAGTACCATTACCATCCCCGCCCCCCTCCGCATCCCACAACTCCCACACCGGAGCCCCAGGCGTCCGCAACACAGACGGATCCAAAGTCCGCACAAACGATATCCAGTAGTCCATAACCCACGGCACCACAGCCGCAGCCTCGCCGTAATAGCTCGCCGGCCCACGCCCCGGCCCCTGCTGACTGTCCGGCCCAAACACAGCCCACGACTCCCATATATGCGGCACGCCTAGCCCCAGCGCCGCGTTCGCCGCGTCGTACACGTCGTACCGGTAGCTCCACGCGCGCTGCTGCTGGGCGTTGTTCCGGCGGCGCCGGGTATACGACGTCAGGAGGTTGTTCGTCGGGCAGATGAATGTTGCTTCGCCGTACGCGGCTGCCGCGGAGGGGAACCAGGATCCGTGGAGGGGGAGGGGGGCTTGCTGCGGGTATTTGGAGGAGAGGTTGCTGGGTTGGGCGGCGGAGGAGGAGGAGGAGGAGAGGTGGGGGTAGTTGTTTTGTAGGAACAGCGCCATGGCGTCGGAGCTGGCTGTGTCGGCTGGCGCGAAGACGGTGCCCTCGTTGGTGGTGGTGCCCATTATGATGGGGACGTCGACGAAGGAGCCGCGAGAGAAGAGGACGGATGGGGAGTCCGGGAGGAGAGAGCCGTCTATGCAGGGCGTCCAGTAGAATAGGGGTAAGGGGGCGGGAAGGCCCGGGCGGCCGGGGAATGGGGAGGGGATATTCGCGGATTGTTGTAGGGTTGCGGTGTCTTTGCTCCGGAGACACGACATTGCGTCTTCTTCTTCTTCGTTGCCGCAACCTGTCTGCGAGAGCACCAGGTCGAACTGCCACTCGAGATCCGCGACGGTCGGCTGCGCGGGGAAGAAGGGGGATTCCCCGACGGCGCCGACGAAGAGATTACCACTACCACTACCACTACTACTACTACTTGTACTGTTATCGTGCTGCTGCTGCTGCGTCTGGCCATCACCCTCCGCATACGAAATAAGCAGATGCAGCGCAACGGAGCCCGCCCCAGCCGAAGCCCCGTGGATCACGACGTGGTCCGGATCGCCCCCGAACTGCGCGATATGTCTCCGGACCCAACGCATAACCGCGCGCTGGTCCCGGAGCCCAACGTTCAAATCCCCCCCGCCGCCGCCGCCGCTGCTACGCACGCGCTCGCTCGCTAGGAAACCCCAGAGCCCGACGCGGTAGTTGAAGTTGACCAGGACTATGTTCCGGGCCGAGCGCTCGACTACGGCGGTGCCGTTCCAGTTGGCGTTGCTGTTGACGGTGTAGCCTGTTTTTTTTGTTACTTGATTTAGCGCCGAGTTGAGGGTTGGTGTTTAGCTTGGGGGGGGGGGGGGGGGGGGGTTATTATAGGTTAGGTAGGTATTGGTAGGTATTGGTAGGTTAGGTACCTAAGATAGGAGAGAGGATAGAAAGTGAAGGGAGAAGGGGAAAAAAAAAGAGAAAAAAAGACGAACCTCCGCCCTGGATGAACAGCCACACGGGCAGCTTCGAGTCGAGCGTAGCGTTAGCCGGCGCCCATACGTTGACGTACAGACAATCTTCATCTTGGGCTCCGCCGTTAGGATACGGCATCGAGATGCCCAGGCATATAGGACCGAACTAGATTCGCTCCGCATGTTAGTTTAGTTACCTACCTCTTAGATAGGTAGGTAGTCAAAGCATTCCCTTCACCTTGTTTCATTTCCTCTTATCTCCTTCTCCCTAGGACGGAAGATATTTATCAAGTACCCATCCAAGAGACAGAAACAAAAACAGAGCAGAAGGAAAACACCCGGGTAAAAAAAAACACCTTACCGTATCAGCCACCTGGTCTCCCGAATCATCCACCTCCGGCTCAACCGGAGCCCGCCACCTGCGCTCCCCCGTCGGCGGCGCCGCGTACCGCATGCCGAGGTACTCCGCGACGCCGCCGTCTCGGCCCACGAGCGAGCCCTGGTACTGCGCATAGCCCAGGTTCACGCGGGCAATGTCCGGTTGCGACGGGGTCTGCGTTCGTTACCTACGTCTTAGCGCTTGGTCTACCTATCGCGGAAGTTCTAATTAAAGGGGAGAGAAGGTGGAAAGAAAAAAAAAAAAAAAAAGAAAAAAAAAGAAAGAGAGATATAGGTATATATAGGAGAGAGGGAGTAGGTATAGTATTTACCCTCTTGTCCTCCTCGATAGCCCTGTCGCGATTCCGCCTAGGCACTAATATAGCCGTGGGAATGACTACGACGACGACGACCGCTATCGTCGCTAGCACTGCAAAGACGTGACACGGCTTAACGGCTCGTTTTGGGGCGCCGGGGGTTTTCATAACTACCTAATGGCGGCGCGCCCGGGACGCTTTGTGCGGCCTGGTGGTTGTTCATATGATACAACAGGATAGGCGGACTAGAGAGCTGTCGGAGGATATGGTTGGTAAGTAAAGGTAACTAGCCGGTATCAAAGTCTTCAACCCTCCTCAAATCCATCCGAACATTCACGGGATGGATGGCACCCTTTTTCCAAGTTAGTTACTAGGTAAGTTAGGTAGTCACTCGACTTCCCCTCCCCTCACATCCGATCTGATCTAGCCAAGCGCTGCGACAGGCACAGAGAAAAGCATGAATCAGGGGTCTAGTAACTATCTGTAAGAGACTTATTCCAGGGAAAAAAAGGCACGTTGTCTGTCCCTCGTCGCGCAGCGTCAGTTTTCCCCTCGTAGTCCTACCCTACCGTTCGCTGGCGCGCAGAATTTAATGCCGTCCGTCTGCAGCTAACCAGGACAAATCTCCGGGATACTCCAAGGCGATGGATCGGGTCATGGGATCTCCGCCCTCGTAGAGGATTCGGGAAAGTGATCAATCAGTTTTAAGAAAAGGAAAAAGTATAAGTTGAACAACTCGAACAACTATCATGATAGGTATACAACACCGAGTCTAAATCCAGTCTAGGAGACTCGCTACGTAACTCAGGTCGACGAGAATCTATTCTAATGGAGCAAGTTTTAATTTTTAATATTAAAATCGATTTCCTTGACGTCAATAATAGAGCTATTTACCTGTTAATAGTAACATTAAAGAGCAACTAGACAGGGAACGGACCGGGATCGTTGCTCATCTTTCTATTTTCATCCACATCTTCATATCGCATGCACGGTTCACCGCCTAAAGAAACGAACCAGAATTAAACGAAGAAAATATTCATCATATGCACGTACTCATTTATCTAAACAGCAGAAAGCAATGTTAACTTCAACTCGATCCTCCCCTTTTACTCCAATGCTCTGCTCGCATCCGCTTTCCAACTCGACTTCCCTTACGAAGTCAAGATAGGCAACATGGCGAGTGAGACGGTCCAGATTAAAAAACAATGCTCATGTCCATTCATTCCAAGCCAATACCTAGTAAGTCCGTAACGCCCTGGTCATTCAAACATTTCAATGCGGGAGAGCTCGCTGGTGAGAAGAAACGCCAGCATAACAGCCAAGGGGGGGCCTTGCGAAGGGAGAAGAAGTAGTATCCATCGTCTCTGCCGAGGAAAATTCATATGCCTCGTCGATACCAAACGCCAAACGCATATGCAGGGAACCGTGACTTGGTCGTCATAGTCGTCATCGTGAAAATAGCTGGTCCATAGGGTCTAATTATCATCGAATATGCCATTATAAACGCAACATCATTAAATAGCCGTTAACGCTCAATTTGGCAACAGCAAGGACTCGGTCTCCTATATCGCGGATACCTTGCGCGCCGTTGAGCTAACGTTTGAGTTGGCGTTGATACTACCAACCCGACCGCTCGTCTTGCGCACGCCCGCCGAATCCTTGTTGCGGCTGGATTCGGCAGTTCGCTTGCTGCTCCTGACCTTGGTCATTATACCAGAAGCGCTCGCCGACCGCGTTGGCGAGCCGGTGACATGGTCCACGATGGTCTTCGGCCGAGCACTGCCAATGTTCTCAGCGTCATTAGATGCATCATTGTCTATGACTTGATATATCGTTGTTGTCGTGCTTTGGCTTACTGATCTCATCTTTTCACTGCGGCCTGGTGTGTGCGATGTCTTGCGATGAGTTCGCATGCGTAAGAGCCATTCTTCTTCGGATTCGGCGTCGTTAGACCGTCTGTGGACGGAGATGACCTCCGTGTCTTTCTCAGCCCCCTCGCGTTCCTCCTCGACCGGGGAAGGCTGAGCCGCGTTGCGCTGATAAGGATGATGTCGATCTAGGCGACTCGTCTTCCGAGGCTGACCTGGCGTCGGGGCCGGTAGGTAGTCCTCTTGCGCACCCGCATTACGCCTTTCACCATCCATTTCGCCGAGAGGCGTACGGTTTGATGGGCTTCTGCTGGGAGGTGTAGACGCCTGAGCACTTCGGCTTAGAGTAGCCTTCTGCATTGCTCGGATGGGCGTGCTGGGCGCCTGGTTCGCAGCCGCGAGCTCCTTTCTTATCTTCCTCTCCATTCTCTCCTCGATCCACCACTCGCGGAAAACTCCTTGATTGATGTGCAACCAATGCTGTTGAGGGCCAACAACCATACCAGGGCGCATAAAACGCATGAAGGAAATGACCTCATTTGCCGTAAATCCATGGCGGTAGATTAAGTATGCCCCAATCAAGCATCCAGTTCTCCCAAGACCGGCTTTACAGTGAACCGCGATACCCTTCTTTCGAACAGTAATTGTCTCATGTGCAAGCTTGATGAACTTTCGAACGGTGCTTAAGGGGGGGCAGGTACCATCTTCAAAAATCATGTCGAGGTGTTGGATCCCTAACGCCTCAAAGTAAGATGGAGAATATAGAGGCGAGTTAAGTCGGACAACTAGGCCGATGCTGCGCTCGGAAAAGTGGCTTAGTACGTTCTTGAATGACTGAGGGAGGGTTGGGTGAGAATCGACCGCGGAGAGTGTCTTAGGAAGAGAATCATATAATTCCGACGACTCGGTGATGCGTGCCACCGGGCTATGCTGTGGGGATGCGAATGCCAGGAAATGAGGTGTGATCCAGTTGAAATCGCCGTGTTCGACGCGTTCAAACTTTTCGTATTCGTCAAGATCGAAGTTGTCTAGGACACAGCAACCCTCTTCCTTGGCTTTCCAGACACCGTACACGATATCTTGCACAGTGATGCCGTAATCCGCTTGGCTGTAACCAGCGTCGCGGAAAGGCATTAGAGGCGGATCAACCTGCGCAATCGGCGCCAGAGCCAAATGAGGTGGCCAAGATTGAATCAAAACCATGTAGCAAGCGAGTAAACAAGCGGCATTGGCCCGGCCTGTTCGAAATTGTCAGCAACAATAAGAATTTTTATACATAGGTATGCATAGGGACTTACTCCTCGGGTCTGCACGGCTCCAAAACACAATAGGTCTATGCTGGTTTTCCTTTGCGCCAAGAACATCGTGAAAATGCAGGGCAAAACGGTACAAATGACCGATATGAAGTGGGCCAAAATCGTGGTGGAAGGCGTTGTATAAGAGGCTGTCATCGACTGTAAAGTAGTAAGGGGGATGTCGGTCCGACTTAGACACAGCAGGCGAAGGCCCGTCGACAGCTCTTTGTGATCGTTTACTTGGCGAGCGAGTTGGGGGTTCGGAGTAGGGAAAGACGGTGTCGGCTGTAGGAGGATGAATGTAGGATGCTAGGTAAAGGCGGTCTGCGAATGTTAGTAATGTGACGGGAAATACTTGTGAATTAAGTAGCAATGAAGGATGTATGGTATTTTGCGAAAAGCCAGGAGAAATGGGATTCCCCAGGTCGATCTGCGTTAGGCAGACGCTCAAGGAGTCAAAGGACATAACAAATGTGACTGGGACGATAACCAAGTAGTAGGATAATACCGAATAATAAGAGGTGAAGGCGAATACGAATATAACAAACAGTAAAAAAGAACATACCTGGAATATACTCAATAACCTGACCCGATTGGGCACTCCTCGAAGGCGGCATCTTGAATGCTGATGTTATCGCTGCTTCTACTCTTTTCTGCTGCAATTCCTTTGTTGTTTCCGGCTCAAGAGCTGGGTTTGTTTACCCCGTCAAGTATAGACTCGAACGGGAAGACGGGAAGCTTCAACGGCTCTGCATAAACAAACGCAGGCCTGCAGTAGTATAAATATAGCGATTGGAGATATATCAGTCGCCGGAAGGACCGTTTAACGATATCGGTGAAGAAATGATTCTAATTTCGGATACGATAAACAAACAGTTCATGTACCGGTAAACCCGTTCAATGATGTATGATGCGTATCGCGTATGGGCAGCAAGTAGTAGTGAGTGCAAGCAAGAAGAGTTAAGGAGCCTGTTTGATAAGAAGGAAGAAAGGTTGAAGTAGACGATGTAAATTATTAATGGGTGTTTTTCAAGAAAAGGATGTTTTTGTATGGTTTCGCTCTATTATTATTTGATTGTTGTTATGTTGGGGTAAGAAAGTGACATGGGTCAAACTTCTGGCCCGTCGCATAGCGTCTTCATTTGACATCTTACCATATTAGGTTAAGACCGTGACCTAAACCCCTGTCGGCCCTGTCGTGTTTACCGGTCAAGCCGTTGCTTAGCAACCGTCCTGCCGTCTGGACCCATTTCATAGGTGGCTGAAACGCTGGCCTCATAAGCCGCAGCTGAATTCCAACGCTTCTTATCCTCCTACCAAACCTTATCTTATCGTCCTTTGCGGAACATTATGTACCTAGGTAACCTAAGGTAGAAGAAACCTGCATGTGGTTTGCCTACCCCTCCTGCCCTCCCTGCCTCCCTGTGTTCCCCGCCGCGGCTCACAATTGCAACCTTACCAAGTACCTAAACTATTTGTTCATTGCGCAATCAACATTCCAAGCCTCTTTACCCATTAATCCACCCCGGACTCTATTCGCCTGAGAAAAGGCATATGACTACCATGGCCTCAACAGCAGACATACAATACCCATGTGCACTGTATGTTAGCATACGTAACCATCACCAACTGATAACTTGAGACTAAGACTGCTTCGTAGGACGATTGAGGTGCCATTCCCTACACCAAGACTAGCATCCATTGCCTTAAAGGCACTACAGGTCGACAAAGAGCTATCGCCTTTGGTGAAGCGAACTTTTTCCATTGACCAGTCAGATGAAGGCACTATCAATGGAAATTCAGACGGGAATATCTTACGAACCGAGTACAAAGCCACTACCAACAGGATGCTTCGCGTAGCCGTCAACTCTTTCATGGATAGTCTAAACTTAGTGGTCGAAGTCATGCAAGAGCTTGACACGGACGTACTAGCCACGGAAGATACTAAAGCATGAATGGATTCAATGAAACCGTAACCCTTGTCACGGCGGATAAGGGATACTGTCCCGCAACTCCCAGTGGAATGTAAGACAATACTAGGTGAGTGTCATAGTGAATACAACAAGCAATCTAGGGTATCATTATTAAGACAATTTCAGGGATTCATACGATGATGCAGAACACGTGGTAGTATTCTTTAGAGAATTAATGATTTATTGCCATACGGGGGGTTGAGCTACCTGCAACTCCTAACGCCTACCATTCCATCATATGTGGTTACTATCGATATTCCCATAACCAACTCTCGTGTACCCTTCAACCCTGCGACATCTATGCTTACTCGATGTCGACCTTGTGGATCGCAGTCCACTCCTTCTCCGTCTTGGGGACGGTGACGATGAGAATACCGTTTTCCATTTTAGCGGTGGTGTTGACACCGTCGATGTCCTCCGTCTCATCACTTCCAGGAGGTGGTAGCTTGATGCTTCTCTTAAACATACCAACCTTCCTTTCGCTTGAAGCCAAGGTCTGGATGAACTCTTCATTGCCCGGACGATATACAACTCCGGCAATGTTGATTTTCTCGCCGTCCCAAATCACTCCGATGTCTTCCTTCAGAGCTCCTGGTAGTGACACATGGAGTACGTATGCTGTCTCGGTGTTGAAGATATCGACAGGCGGGACGAACGCATCGTCCTGGTGCTCATTCGATTCGCCAGAGGGACCACTCCGAGCTTGGTCCATGTACTCTCTGAAAGCTTCGGCGAATGGATGAGAGGCAAAAGCGTGCATCAATGGACGGAAGTCCCATGGGCCGCTGTAGGCCGGTGGCGCATGTAGTCCGCGCCGGCCGCCACGTCCGCATCGACCTCCTCGTCCTCGGCGGAGACCAAATGGATGCGGATGACCGTGGTGGTTCGGAGCACCCGGCGGCGGCGGACCGTGGGGGTGCGGGAATGCTCCGGGAGGCGGTGGAGGGTGATGAGGGAAGGCCCCAGGTGGTGGAGGGGGTGGGACGTCGCCAGTGACCGACTCGTCCGGGGTATGCCTCAAGGTTTCGTGAGAACTCTCCGTTTCGGTGTCACCGCCATCTTCTTCCCTGCCGGTCTCAGGTGCGTCTCGATATTGTTGGTGGCCGCTCCTGCCATGTCCTCCGTGGTTGCCCCAGCGGCCCCAGCCGTGAGCCATCCAAGGGTTGAACTGGGTGGTGTCAAATGGGAATCCCGGGGGAAACTGATGACCGAGGTTGGCATGGTCAATGCCGACGCCGCCTCTCCCAGCCCCGTGCGGACCAAATGATTGCATAAAGTCCCAGAAGGGAGCTTGATTGTTATTATTGTTGCTTTCCATTTTAGATGATTATTGTTTAGATCTGTAATGATGAACTTGTTGTTTTTGAAGATGTTATGTTAAACCAGAGGACGTTCGGTCCAGCACTTATATACAAAAAACATATCAAGGCTCCAGGACGGAGTGCGTAACTTGCGACTTGCCACGGCGAATACTTACGACTTACAAAACAGTCACAGTCAGAAATGTGTGTACGTAACCCAGTCTCGAACAGATCGGAACACGCTAGAAACCGTAGCCTAGCTGAGGCATCTAGGATAGACGCAGCATGATTTCGGTGTTTCGGTGGCTGCCACGCGTCCTACGCACCAATTCAGACGGTCGAGGAAGCATGGAGCGTTATGATTGGCTTAACGGTCGAACCCCGAACCCTCTTTCAGATTGGCGTCCTATGGGGAGACGGGAGGCAAAAGACGTAGTTCGGGCGCGAAGAGGCAAGCTCGGTTTCCGAACAGATATGTTGAATCATATGTTTAAGAGTCATCGTACGCCATGAATTAAACCAGGCAGGCAACTGGTGCATTTCGTCGTTGTTCGCGGCACGTGCCGCGTCAGATTGTCGCCTTCAGGTGGAGTGAGTGAAGGAACTAGGTTATGTATTTTCGCAACCGACTCGAAGGGTCGGTCTGCGACCCAGCCGAGCCGAACGAAGACATTGTATCATTCCAAGGTTTTTTTTCTACAAAGGTATTGTGGCGTTCGTAAGGCTGAAATTTAACTGCCTACTTGCTTTCCTACCTAATACTTAGAATCAGTATAGTAGAGGATGACGAGATTACCAGCCTTAGCAGTATGCTTCTACTCTTACTGATTGTATGCAGACAGGTAACTAGACTATTTCATTAAGTGATTGGGTTCATTAAGAGCAGTGTAAATCACGATCGGTGAACTAATAGATCTTGTATATTGAAATATACTATCCTTCTTATGAGATAGGTAGTGGTTCATCTTTTCATGGCGGGGCGCCGCGGGAGCCCTCTTATTTTAAATACGCTTCTGATGGTTCCCACTCGACGGGAAGGATCGCCAATGTATGTACGATACAGCATGCATATCACAGGCATATACAGGGGCACACCCAGCAAATAAAGCTGGATAATTTCAAAGTTTGGTTCGATAGCCGCCTATGTTAGGTACATTCTTTTAGACTCTCTATCTTATACCTAAGCTACGGGCCGTGACACGGCTATGACGGGATCTTTCTCGCTCGTCAAGTGAGAATAACAGGTACCTATGTCTGACATTTTGACAACGGGTATACTATATCCATCATGCCGTCGAATTACCCCTGTTAGTTACACATTCTGAAAAAGTGTCTAACAAACTTCACAACCGTGGGCTTACACTAATTTGTCTATGGCACGTTAAGATGGACATCATCTGCACGCGGTAGTAAGAGTAAGTGAATCAAGAGGCAGTGTGCAGCCGACCCGCCATCTATCTATATTTACATCCCACCCTATCATGGCTTTACAGAATACATAGATTCTCGCTCTAATAGTTAGCGTGTAGAACAATGTCAAGGAAAACCGGCAAGCCAGAACTAGACCGGTAGACTTCCACTGTTCTATGAGAGAGCCAGTATACACTATGTTGCGACCTACGGCAGGTCTCATCTTGCATGGGGGCTGATTGGGCGCTTGGAAATACTATTCTGCTTCACCCAAGTTCCCTATTTCTTAAGCGCCAACTTGTAAATCAACCAATCATCTGCCCTGTCTTCCAAGTTGCCAAGCTGGATGACCGGACAAGGTGCCCCCCCAAGAGGGGCACGCTCATATCCACACGGCCAGACAGTAGGTCGCATATCTTGGACCTCTTCGAAGCCGTCTTGTCCTTCCGTGAATTCGTTTCACCCGTTCATATTTTGTACTGCGCGTATATTGTACCGTATTCTTTCTATTCCCTTTGGTCGAAAGCCGTCAGCCCTTCAGCGAGCTTCACGACAGAACCAGAACCAGAACCAATCATCGCTACCCCACCTCGTCCAAGCCATCGTCTGGACGTCGTTTTACGTCCGGCTGTCGCAAAGCGCCTATAAATAACTTTTATCGTCTTTTTTTTTTTCCCGTGCGTCATCCCGCGTATTCTGCCGGGTCCCTTTTTGCGCCTCGTTAGTTGGTTCTGCGCTCCGAGTACGGGGGAATACGTAAAACAAAACAGGATGGATCGTCACGGGAGACCTGAAGAGGAGATGTTCCTCAATAAACCCGCTGAAGATTGCGACAGCCCTACGGTCGAGCCTCTGAGAATATTCAACCCCAAGAGTCCCAAGCCTAGTTCCGATAGATTCAAATATCCCGCCCCGGCATCTTCCCAGCCCACCTTTCCCCTGCCGCCGGGCGCCTCGAGCTCTGCTGCGCCTCTGCCGTACCCTGATGACGACGACCATCGATTTGGTCAACCTTCCCAGTCGAGTCGACCTCCATATCCTGCCGACGACCGCCGGCCCTCTCTCAATAAGATCTATACGAGTCCTCCGGGCTCTTCACATTCACATTCACATTCGGGTTCCTTTAACGACACGACTCCGCGATTGGAAACAAGTCCTACCGAAAAGAGACCCGGTCTTGCTGAACGACGGGGAACTGCTCCTAGACCTTTACCAGCATCGCTTAGTCCGGCAAGCCCTCCAGGAGAGGATACCGGTCTCTTTGCAAAACCTCTCGGCAACCAAGCGAAACCAGCGAATATTACTACTACCACGTCCTTCCCTAACTATCATCAAAAGCCCTACTACCCTCCGCCTAGGGCGAGCTCTGCAGCTTCGAGCTCAAGCTCGAACAGCAATGCGCGACCCCAACCCCAACCCCAAGCAACCGAAGACAATCACCTCAAGATGCCAGACAGCGGCGTAAACCGCTTTGCGTCGACAGCTTCTACGTCGACTACGAGAGCAAGCCGAGGATCTCCACCCCCGCCGGAGACCCCTATCGTAGAACCAGGTACTATCCCCGGAGGAGGTATCGAGGCGAGATATGCGGCCGCTGGAATATCGGGAACCGCAACTCTTAATAGTCTTCAGAGTTCGGCGGCGGCTCAGCGG